TTTAGTACAGTCCTTTTTGTTTGCTGATGTTTAAAGGCTCAACACTTCATTTGCAGAACTAAGTGTGCAGAGCTGTTGTTCAGATTAAGAAGCAGACACCAAATCACACCAGTGATCCCTAAAGACGCCTAATTTTTTATAAAACCTCACTTAATTACTGACTTAAACTGAATTCAAGCTGATTTAAACCACTGGTATTGGTGAGAAGTAGCTCAGGTCCAAATCCTGCTTCCCATGTAGCAGCATTCAGCCTAAAAATGCTGAGTAGCAGCAGACATGGAGATGATTAAGAAGGCAGATATCACACCAGATGGACTCTAATGGGATTTCCAGAACAATGAGGCAAACTTTTTATTTTTTTTTATTCTTAAGATTAGCCTTGATTACTTTCAGGTTGAGAATCTTATTATTATTATGATTCATTTAGAAAGAGTTAAACCAAACCTTCATTTTTTTTAGCAGCAACTCTTGAAAGATACAATAAATAGAATTAAAATATGTTCACAGCTTTGCAGAAATATTGAAAAAAGTAGAAATTTTGTTTTTATTGACTGACGTTAACCAAAAAAAAACTGTGACTTTAATCACAAGGTATCTGTAAATATTTTAGTGTACCTTTAAATGCCATTTACTCACGATCCTGCTCCTGCTATGTTCTAATTTATGGAGTGGAACATACTGTTAAGTCTTAAGAAGGTTTACAATTATTGTCTACAAAATCTCAAAAAAAGTGAAGTTTTCTTTTGACAAAGATTAAATAAAACCCCAGAAATTGAAAAAGAACAGGTTTTTATCTATTTTTTTTATTGTTTTGTCTAAATACAAACCAATAATCAATTTTAACAATTTGACATTGGATGGAAGAACCAAAAATATAGATAAAACAATTAATAAAATAAATTCAAAGGGTTTTAATTTCAAACATCAAGATATGCAGGGTTATATGAAACCTATCTAGCTGATATTGTTTGTAGAGTTAAAAGAAAACAAATAATTGAATTAAAAAATTTCCTCTCAGAAGATTCCACATAAATCAAATATAATATTTAAAAACACATCAGTTTTCAAAGGTACGAAACATGTTGGTATGAATTGAAGCATGGTCTGTCGAAATGGCCCAACCTGCAAAAAGCATCTGGTACAAAACGACCAAAAGTACAAAATGGCGAAGGGATGAAATGACCAGCACCCTTCAACAGCTTTTAGAGCCAAAACGCAGCAAAGGTTGAACTTTATCGCTTTTTCTACGGCTTACATTTCAGCTTAGACATTAAAAACTGCTTACGGACAAAAGAACTGCAGGCTGGTTGTTTGTTTTTTCTAGAGGGGCTATTTTAAGGCCAGTATGGATAAATTATTACAGCAGAAATATTTTTCTAAGTATTTCTTGGAAACCGGAAATAAAACATAGAGGACTCTATAGAAGCTCTGTGCAATAAATGGATAAAATCCAGAAGCAACTAAAGCCTTTTTCATTGCAAAAGTTCTCATTACACCAAAGAAAATGTATTTAATTAGATCTAAGTAGGGAAAAATGCATAAAGTCTGTTTTTAATATACTTTCCATCTAAACATAATAATTTCTAGTTTATTTTTAAGTTATCTGTACACTTTCGTTTCCAACAATGCAAATAAAAATGAGGCGATTGATATATTTTTTAACAGCTGACTAATAAACTGTCATCTTTCTAGCATCATTAGCATGAAAATACAACAGGTTCTTAATTACTACACTTTGTTGTCTGCATGCGATCGTACTCAGCCCGTTTATCTCCCAAACAACTTAATTTTCCCTGGATTTTAGAGGCCTTTAATGGATCGGATCCACAATGCTGGGAACATGAGTCTGTTTCAGCTGGTGTAAATAATTTTGTACATCTTTTACCAGAGAACATGCAAGATAATGCCTGCATGATTTCTATATAGACAGTATTTCTGTAAATTCAGAGGCATCCAACCACTGCTCCTGTGTTTGATAGAGAGGGGTGGCTCCACTGAGCAGGAACTCTCATGCTACTGTATCCGCCTGCCGCTCGGACCTGTCATCATCCCCGTCACATTGTGTCACCTCTCCATTGTGCCTGTTAGAAAGCATGAAGCTGATAAGCTCCAGTTGTCTCGCACACACTTCACATCCATCAACAAAATCATTGCTGGTTATTTGTTCATCGATTGAATGTCTCCGTTTTCAGACTTTAATTCAGCTGTGATGACTTACAGGATGCAGCGTTGACCAGGAGGCACCATATCTGCAGGAACAGTACATGGACTCATTAAAAAATATTTGTTTTGAGAAATTAGATGATATACCTGGAATGAATCAAACAGCCTTTGTAAAAAGAAAGTACACCCTGGTTTGAGCAGGTCATTTCACAGGACAAGATAAAACCGGTCAGGTCCCGAGCAGGTTCGAAAGCTAATTCTGTTTGTGCTGGGGTGTGGAAAACGGATTTGACAATGTGAGTTTAGATAAATAAGAGCCTTGATCCAGCAGCTCATAGAACCACCAACAATCGTAGAACCACTGTCAGCTGTGTTGAAGTGTGGAGAACCTCCCTTACAGCTGGTAAAACCTTCCTAAAGGCTTGTAGATTCTCCCTTAAAGCTTGTAACCTCCCTTAAAGCTTGTAGAACCTCCCTTAAAGCATGCAGAAGCTCCCATTTGGCTTGTAGAGCCTTCCTTATGGCCTCCACCAGCAGCAGAGGCTCCCAGTAGTCGATAGAGAAACTCACGCTGCAGTCAGTCTATCTGGATTCTTTTAGTCTTTCACATCTTTGTGAAAAAAAAACTGAAACATGCATTGACGTTTGCAGATATTTGTTCCTGCACAGCTCTCTGAATATATCTAGAGAATGTACTTCAGGCTGAGGTATCTGCTCTTTGACTAGGCCACTGAAACGCCTTAAATGCTTTTTAATTAATCTGTTTCATATTAGCTGCTATGTATGAAATCTTCCAGCTTCAACTGTTGGACACAATTGGCACAAGTTTGATTCTTGAACAGTGACTGCAAGGTGTCCAAGTTACCCAGCTGCAAAACTAGTGAGATCATTGAATTTATTGAATTGAACCAAACTGAATCATTGTCCCTACACGAAGCTTGACACTTACTAACAGCTGTTTTATGCTGTTCTGTGTGTCTTTTTCCGAACACTTAGAAAGACATCTTTGCTCTAAAATATCATTTTCATGTAATAATGCAGAAGTGTTAATGTTGCACTAAGATTATTAATACAGAGTAATAGTGTTGGATCCGTTAGATTTTTCTCCATACCTACCTTATAAGCCCCAAAGGATTTCATAAAAGCCTGAAATTAAAGAGGGTGTACTTTCTTTAAACCTCAAATGTTTTTGTTTTTTTCATAAAAATAAACTTCGCAGGATAATCTTCTAATCTTTGACAGAATTGTTGAAGCGAAAGATCCAGAAGTCAGAGTTAAAGATTTTTCATCAAGACATATTGAACCGTTTTCGAGGCTTAATCTTTCATGGAGCTGTAGTAAACTCATCTAAACTGTGGTAAAGCCAAACAATTTTTGGCAAAGTGTTGTAAGTTTTGTGTATTTATGTGTGAAATGTTTTCATATGACTCTCCAAAGAGTTTGTGAAGTCCCCAGTGACAATTTTTGTAAACTGTTGTAAAGGATGTCAAACGCATCAAGGACAATGTCTGTAGTTCTTGTTTCTAATGTACTGTATCTAACTTTAATAGTCTCGACACGTTGATGCCACACTGCTGTTTGAATGTTTAT